ATATGTGACCCTGGACCACAAAACCAGTCATAAGGGTCAATTTTTTCGAAATTGAAATTTATACATTATCTGAAAGCTAAATAAATAAGCTTTCCATTGATGTAGAGTTTGTTAGGATCAGTGTTGGGAGTAACGCATTACAAAAGTAATAATATTACAGTAGTATATTACGTTTTGCTGTAACGCAGTAATATAACGCATTACTAATCAAATTTGGGTAATATTATTACTCGTTACAATCTCAGTAACGCAAGTTACAACAACATATTACTAACACCGCAAAACAGCACCAGAGAAAAAATTCCGCGGGTAAAATAGTTCGTCTATTTCCTGTTGCTGGAATTAAGATGGTTGAGATGACTGCAGAGACGGATTCTACATTTGTGAGATGGACACACTCCTGTTATTTTCAGTTCATCGGAGAAAAGGATAAGAATGCTTAGCAATATGTGCGACACCAAACTCTCAACATGGAGAAATAGCACGAGTAAAACCTGGAAACACCTGGACTGGTGCCACTAACACTAAGCTATCGGAGAGAGCTGCGGGGTCGGAGAAGAGAAAAAAGGCGGCGGACGAGCGCAGACAAGCAACAAAAATTACGTTTAACTAAAAATAACAAAATCTGTTTTTGTTAAATCATAGTCTATATGACTATGCCGTTCCACGCCGTATGGCGCGCTGTGAGGATAATTACAATTTAGGCTATTAGTTTAGGCTACTCCTCATTGAGAAAGTTTTTTTTTAGTTTTTTTTAAACAGGTCTATTAATTTATACAATTGAATTATAGGCCTATAATTAAAATTATTAACACTGCAGTCATCGATGAAAATTAAGAGCAGCTTTATTTCGTGCACAGATTTTCAAAAACAACCTGTTTAACGCGAAATACGTTTCTTCTCATGTTTTTCACTATAGGCTACGGGCCACAAGAGAAATATCAAGGGAATAATTTAAGACAGATATATAATTTACTGACGTTCACCGGCATAACTCTTGCGCACAGTTTGCGCGTTGCTTGCTTGTGTTGCTTGACCCCTCCCCCATAATATCAATCGTTTATAGGCCACATATTAGGCATTTTTTTTTATGTTTATTTTTTTAATGTTAATGAAAGTGACACCAAAAATAAGGGAACGTCAAGCCCCGCCCTAGCGCCGCCACTGATTAGCCTAATTCGTTTTGGCTTGTTTAGCAACTTATATTTTTCATTCTTGTTTTCTTCTGAAACCGTTCAAATTTGCCTATAGGCTAGGTATTGTGTTTATTGTTTGTACATTATAACATTTCGCTTTATTTACCGGTATTATTTATGAATGTAATAATGTGGTTTCTGCTTATCTTTTTTTAACCTAAACTACAACGTAACATTAATGTAGACCTACATACCGGTATCTAAATATGATTTCATATATTTTATGCTATATAGACCTACCACGTTACCCTCCACTGGATGTAGAATGAGCAGCAATAGACTACATTTTGGCATTTTATAATACTTCTGTGGATATTTTGGTGAAAGCAACTCAAAAGTAGTGTAACGCATTACAATTCAGAGACAGTAATATTGTAATGTAACTAATTACTTTCAAAAGACAGTAACTAGTAATATATAATGTATTACATTTTGGAAGTTACTTGCCCAACACTGGTGCTTAATGATAGTAATGGTTTTTATAAAAACATTAAGGCAGTTTAAGCCTATTGTAGATATAATTATGGATGGATTTCTTATTGCCCCTATTGCTTACAACACCCATAATGCCAAGTATGATGAAATTAAATTATTGGAGCACAAATTAAAAAAGACAAAAACCACTACTCTAAGGAAGAAGAAAAAAGCTACCACAGCAAATGCCAAAAACATGACAGGTACTCACGCTGTGTCTGTAGAAGGGGTCGACTTTAGTGGGATATTTGTCGAACTGTGGAGAAAAGGAGAAACAGAGCTCAGTACACACAGGAGTGCTTCAGGCCTATAAACAATTTACTCCTGACAAATATCTTATGGAGTCACGAGGCTCAAAACAAATACCAAATGCTTTAATGTGCTCTCCAGAAAAGTGTTTGGTTGGCAGTAAAATGGTCTCTGCCCCGATTAATGAATGTTAGCACAGAAAATAGGCCTGCATTATTTCTGCTGGCCCCGTCCACGCTGTCGTTTTGCAATTTACAGTGAATTATGACAAGGTCTTTCTCTTGTTAATGTGTATTACTCAGCAATTCTGTGAATGGTCAAATAGAAGCCATTCCGGCAGGGTTTGAGTGGTCTAATCTGGATCCAGAGAGAATGTTTCCCACTCGAGAGTAAACAATGTGGCTCTCAAACTAGTTTTATACTCTCATTAGCTAACAGAGCGCCATTCTCAGAGGTCTTTGAGTCTGGAATGGTTCAAAAGCCGCTTTTAAGCCTCTGTGGGCAGTGTGGTTACCGTCGAGCTGTGTGTGGGAGTGTCTGTATGAAGCCTCAACTCACTAATCAGCTCTGCTGCCTGCCAACCAAAAGCCCTCAGTCAAAACTCCATCAGACCAAAATGATGTCATTAAACTGGGAATTAATAAACTAGTATTAAGTTCTCAATGCTTGGCTGGAACAAAAATGTATCCCCAGTGGCTCTGACTGCCAATTTGAAAATCAGGGCAGAGAACAGAGAGTGGTGAAGCATGCCAGAGAAAAACAGCAGTTTTCCAACAAAAAAAAGCCACATTGTGGCGAGAGAGAAACACATGGTTACAATTGAGAGAGCGAGCCACTGCCATGGCTTCTAGTGTTTACTGAATCAGCATACTGTACTGCAGAAGTTTAGAATTCAGCAGTTGGTACAATACACACATGCACAAATTTAGTAGTTACCTACAGCATTCCCACAGTTTTTGACCATTGATTTCTTCCAGTCATCTCTGATGACGCAATGGGGATTTTTACAAATCATTTTGATGGATTTGATTTTTATAAATCATCATTTGTGAACCGGCCTGAATAATTAATTAAAAAGACACATCATACAAACTTCCATGACCGTGGGAACCCTGTATCTTGTATACACGCATTTGATTTTAATGTGTATACATCTATTTTATACATTCAGTCATCCATTTAATCACTCAAGCATCTCCACCTTATTTTGCAGTGCGGAAATAAGCTATCTTCTTTGAATGTGCAAGACTTCCGATTCATTAGCCTCTAAAGGTAAATAACTTGTAGAATAATAAAAAGCAGTAAACTATAAAATGATTTGTGCTATAAACCAGTGTATTTATTATAATAATGAATTAAAATGATATGATCACAAAAATCAGTTTGCAATATCAAGCAGCATAATAGACAGGTAAAATATCTCAAAGCAAATGATACCGGAAACCTTGCACAATTTATCAAAGGCCGCTCCCGCTCTTACGTTAAAAATAAGGTGTATAGTCATCCATCCATCACCACAATTATTATTATTTTTTTATAGAGTTGTGTTCCACTTATCCTCACATTTCTGGCTGGGGTACGCACCATGGGCGGTGCAGGCGTGGGCATGATGGCGTGGGGGAAAGGAGTGAAGGTGTGCTGGTGTGTGTGTTGGTGTGTGTGCTGGTGCTGATGCTGGTGCTGGTGCTGGTGGAACTCAGTATTAATGTAGACCTACATACCGGTATCTAAATATGATTTTATAATTTTATGCTATATAGACCTACCATACCACATTACCCTCCACTGGATGTAGAATGAGCAGCAATAGACTACATTTTGGCATTTTATAATACTTCTGTGGATATTTTGGTGAAAGCAACTCAAAAGTAGTGTAACGCATTACAATTCAGAGACAGTAATATTGTAATGTAACTAATTACTTTCAAAAGACAGTAACTAGTAATATATAATGTATTACACTTTGGAAGTTACTTGCCCAACACTGGTGCTTAATGATAGTAATGGTTTTTATAAAAACATTAAGGCAGTTTAAGCCTATTGTAGATATAATTATGGATGGATTTCTTATTGCCCCTATTGCTTACAACACCCATAATGCCAAGTATGATGAAATTAAATTATTGGAGCACAAATTAAAAAAGACAAAAACCACTACTCTAAGGAAGAAGAAAAAAGCTACCACAGCAAATGCCAAAAACATGACAGGTACTCACGCTGTGTCTGTAGAAGGGGTCGACTTTAGTGGGATATTTGTCGAACTGTGGAGAAAAGGAGAAACAGAGCTCAGTACACACAGGAGTGCTTCAGGCCTATAAACAATTTACTCCCGACAAATATCTTATGGAGTCACGAGGCTCAAAACAAATACCAAATGCTTTAATGTGCTCTCGAGAAAAGTGTTTGGTTGGCAGTAAAATGGTCTCTGCCCTGATTAATGAATGTTAGCACAGAAAATAGGCCTGCATTATTTCTGCTGGCCCCGTCCACGCTGTCGTTTTGCAATTTACAGTGAATTATGACAAGGTCTTTCTCTTGTTAATGTGTATTACTCAGCAATTCTGTGAATGGTCAAATAGAAGCCATTCCGGCAGGGTTTGAGTGGTCTAATCTGGATCCAGAGAGAATGTTTCCCACTCGAGAGTAAACAATGTGGCTCTCAAACTAGTTTTATACTCTCATTAGCTAACAGAGCGCCATTCTCAGAGGTCTTTGAGTCTGGAATGGTTCAAAAGCCGCTTTTAAGCCTCTGTGGGCAGTGTGGTTACCGTCGAGCTGTGTGTGGGAGTGTCTGTATGAAGCCTCAACTCACTAATCAGCTCTGCTGCCTGCCAACCAAAAGCCCTCAGTCAAAACTCCATCAGACCAAAATGATGTCATTAAACTGGGAATTAATAAACTAGTATTAAGTTCTCAATGCTTGGCTGGAACAAAAATGTATCCCCAGTGGCTCTGACTGCCAATTTGAAAATCAGGGCAGAGAACAGAGAGTGGTGAAGCATGCCAGAGAAAAACAGCAGTTTTCCAACAAAAAAAAGCCACATTGTGGCGAGAGAGAAACACATGGTTACAATTGAGAGAGCGAGCCACTGCCATGGCTTCTAGTGTTTACTGAATCAGCATACTGTACTGCAGAAGTTTAGAATTCAGCAGTTGGTACAATACACACATGCACAAATTTAGTAGTTACCTACAGCATTCCCACAGTTTTTGACCATTGATTTCTTCCAGTCATCTCTGATGACGCAATGGGGATTTTTACAAATCATTTTGATGGATTTGATTTTTATAAATCATCATTTGTGAACCGGCCTGAATAATTAATTAAAAAGACACATCATACAAACTTCCATGACCGTGGGAACCCTGTATCTTGTATACACGCATTTGATTTTAATGTGTATACATCTATTTTATACATTCAGTCATCCATTTAATCACTCAAGCATCTCCACCTTATTTTGCAGTGCGGAAATAAGCTATCTTCTTTGAATGTGCAAGACTTCCGATTCATTAGCCTCTAAAGGTAAATAACTTGTAGAATAATAAAAAGCAGTAAACTATAAAATGATTTGTGCTATAAACCAGTGTATTTATTATAATAATGAATTAAAATGATATGATCACAAAAATCAGTTTGCAATATCAAGCAGCATAATAGACAGGTAAAATATCTCAAAGCAAATGATACCGGAAACCTTGCACAATTTATCAAAGGCCGCTCCCGCTCTTACGTTAAAAATAAGGTGTATAGTCATCCATCCATCACCACAATTATTATTATTTTTTTATAGAGTTGTGTTCCACTTATCCTCACATTTCTGGCTGGGGTACGCACCATGGGCGGTGCAGGCGTGGGCATGATGGCGTGGGGGAAAGGAGTGAAGGTGTGCTGGTGTGTGTGTTGGTGTGTGTGCTGGTGCTGATGCTGGTGCTGGTGCTGGTGGAACTCAGTCCGCAGGTATGGAGGGGGGCCCAATGATGCCCCGCGATCAGCACTCTGAGATGCCAGGAAACGAGTGTTTAATTCCTGCCGGAGAAGGTCTTGTTCTGGGAGAAGAAAAAATACGAGAAGTTTTAAAAACACACATTTGAATAGTTACTTTACAAGAGCCCATTTTTTTTAGAAGTGTTTATCTAACTGCAGAGAGAACCGTATTGGTATTGGTGATAATTACATGATTCAACAGCTGGCAATAATATCTGATTAGGCATTAAAGAAATGTTATCTACAAGCCGCCGCCAGCTACAAGGCAGCAGCAGCATTGACGTGGGAGGGGAATGAATCAAACCATCTAATCTCTCAGCTGGGGTTTTCTCTGCAGTGCTGTCAGGCACACACACACTCACACACAAACACGTACAAACAGGGATTTATGGCTCATGTTTACTGGAGGATTGATACATTTTACATTTTAATACAGAAATCACGCTGTTCCGCTACAGTATTTAAGAGCTGGGGCTCAGAACAGCTGTTTAATCAGTGTGTGTAACACACCTGGAGTGTAACAATCACTTCCTGCTAAGCTGTGCTTTTATATTTAACTCCATTACACCCATTTGCTTCCCACTCACCTCAGGCCGTTGAGGGTAAGGCTGCTGCTGTAGGCCGAGATTGGACGCGGATGGCACCGTGAGGGCGGTATGTGCTGCACAGGTTGGGTGGGGTTCTGCTGGGTCGGTAGCACTGGTGATGGGGGGTGGTGGTAGATGCTTGGAGTTCGAGGTGGCCTTGGGTGAAGTGGAGGCTCAGATGGGTGCTGATCCTGGCTCTTCTCTTGACTGCGCTCTAGGCCTGACACCTTGGGAATGCCCAGGCCTCGCAGCTCCTGGCTGGCATTGGAGAGCGTGTCAATGCTAAAATCTGGAACTGAAGAGACAAAAAAACAAAAAAAAACAATGAGTGTTTCAGAAACCACATATGCAAACATATTATGGAGATCAGGTCTATCAGCTGACTTAACACAAAAAAAATGTAAACTAAGGAAACAATTTTTACACAGAAAACTGATTTACTCTCAAAGGCAGGTCTTTATTGCTGCTTCAGTGTTTTTAAAATAGCAAAATCAATTCATAATTCTACTCTGCCAGGCCAAACATGCATCTTCCTCATAACCTGATTCTGAGACCTAATATACAATCATCATGAAGAATTAGAGCCTAACAAGCCAACATGTAAGTTCATGTGAATGCCTTAATGTTTTTTATTAGGGAAAGGTAATAAATTGTCTAAGGAAAACCTGACCGGCACACCTAAAAGTGGATATTAGTGTTTTATTGTACAAATAAATGCACTCCATGATTGAGAAAGAAAGAGAAAGAGACTGTAAACCAAGGTTCAGTGTATTCTCTGGGACCAAAGACTCATGGGGGATCACAGTGCATGCATAACTCCTTTATCTGTTTGCCTCGGAGGGAACCACACCCATCTGTCTTTTCTATCTCTTCACACCCAGCCAGGCCTCTCCATCGCCCGCAGCAAGAGATGCTGAATGAGCCTGAATCCCATAGGTTTTGGGGACCTTGCTATAACAGAACCCCCATGGATTGCTGATCCTTCTCTCATGGGCCTAGGGGCCTCCCAACGCAGTGGCCCACGGGGCCCAGCTCAGAGCATAAGGTCCCGGTGTGCAGCTGAGAGGTAGTGTGTGTGATGCAGTCATTAAGGGTCAGTCTGGCCTGCAGCACTCTACCAGATAAAGATCAATAAACTGGGAGTACAAGGCACCCCTGGGGAATGTGTTTGTGTCAAACATCTGCCATGAGACATGGGGGAGGCAAGACACACGTATGCACAAACACTCATATGTATGCATATACATGCACGCAAAAGAACAAACTAAATGCACACACACAAAGACTGATCATTTCAATGCGTACGCCGCAGACCGAAAAATATACCCATTGAAGAGATGTAGGCTACCTCATTTGACCCATGGCTCAATACCCCCTGGTTCTGGCACTCTAAGCACACTTTAACAAACAAACGGCAGTTCAGCCTCCCAGGTCAGAAACAAGCCATCCAGAGGGTGCAATAAGTCACCCTTTATCCTGCCTGAATAACTGGATTTAAGACCGAGAGGGCTAACAGCACTCAAAGAAAAGCCTTTCACACTTGTTTGTGTCAGAATGAGGGCTTTTATAAATGAGTTCCCTTCAGATTATATAGCTCCAGTAGGCCGTCATCGACTGACATGACATGTAAGGACAGACGTGGTCTCTTGACTAGACACACAAAAGCGTGGTTGCCCATCTCCCTCGCTCTCTTTCCTGCAGTGTGTCCTTCTTTTTGATGGAAAATATCCAAAGCTCTTCTAAAAGGCTGAACCACAGAGAGCTCCGCTGCTCCTCCCTTGAGCAACTCTCTCAATGTACTAACATGCCTAAAAAAAACAAGACGGAGAGTGAAAACTGCTTATTCTTCCCGTAATGAAGACTCCAGGGCCAGGCAGGGAGCGGAGGAGAAGTGTGTTTCTCCTCCCTGGGGAGTTAATTTGTCAAGTCTCCTTGATCCCTGGAAACAAATAAATGCAGCTTTCTCACACCTCACCAAAAAAGAAGAGAGGTGATTTTTATTCCAAATGGCAGCCGGGGAGGCGGAGAGGCGGACTTTGCAAAGTTCTCATCTGATCACACAATGTTTATGTGTGTGTGTTTTTGAACAGGATTAAGGTCTACAAGGCTCCTGGAGCAGTGTGCTAGAGTGAGGTCTCGACGGACAGCAAAACACAGCTCATTATCCTGAGGTGAGTCCACTCTGAAAGAACATATTCAGCTGCTAAAAACCAGAGTCTGGACCGTTCATAAACAAAAGTGGAAAACAGAATAGAACAGATATTATCCACATTTTTCCAGATAAAATCTAATTTACATAACAAGTCTGCATATTATCACTGCTATGAATTCTAAGGATTTTATTATTCTATAGCTAGCTAAAAGTGAGAATGATAAATAAAATAGACGGAACAAATATATTCTGGACAAATTAGGATGTATTAAGCCAAATTCTGTCTAGAAAGGAGCTAAACATGAGACAACTTGGGTGAGGCCTTCTGCACTTAAGTAATGCGACTAAAATAGGAATACTCCACATGTCTTAATTCGATTTCTGTTTACTTTGATTATGACTTTAGCCGGATTAAGGTAATCAAAAATCTGTTTACATGGTAGATTCTTAATCAGAGTATTGTCTTAATCGTATTAAATTCGGAGTATTGTTGTCCATGTAAACGTACTCAATGTTGACTCAAATCAAACATATTAATCCTGTTTAATAACATGGCAATCATGTAAAAACACAAACTCAATCAGTTTTTTATATTATATATCAATTAAAGAAACAGTGCACAAAAGGTGGCCAAACCAATTAAAGATTTTTTATCTTCCCTCTGCTTTCACATTTCATCACTAAGGATGTAAAATACATTTGATCAATAGCAGCTACTTCCAGATTGTGTTCACAGCATCTACAAACTGTACCATGGTTCCCCGTTCATATGGATTGGTGCTGAGTTCTGAAGCCATCTTTCATACTATCCAAACAATGTAAATTGAACCTACGTCTGCACCAAAATACTTATATGGAAGCTCACCAAGATGAAGCCATTAACATTGCCTGTGCATAAGGTTTCTCTCAAACAAATTTACCCAGGAACAGTTCGAATTCAAAAGCCTTACTAGTAGGGGTATCGTTTGAATTTTATCAATTCCGATTCCGATTCTTTTCGATTCCCAGTTTCGATTCCAATGTGATCAAATAATGATATCAAACATGTATCCTGTGTCTCTTTTTTGCCAACTATTTATTCGAGCTGAATATAAATCTCTTGTATGATTCAAAGACAAATACATTTTAACAGCCCCTTTTCGCCACCTACTGGTGTAACAATGTAATCGATAAATCTTCATTTGAAGTGTCAAATTTCTTCAAATTACTTTCAAAAGGTGAGTTACTCTATTTTAATCGCTACCATACACATCGTGTACACAGTTTATATCTGAACTATAAACTTTTATCCCAGTACTTCTGTGATTTGAATGTTCAAATTTAAATGTTTCACGGACGAACCAAGTGATCACAACGTTGATCGCACATGTCAAAGGTTGAGGAATATAAGACGAATCATTGTAATTTAGGAATAGAATCACGTTGGTGTTTGAATCACGTTCGCGATCTTTAACGATCTATTAAATTAAAGTGCTTTGTCATGTTGGTGGTGACACCTCTCTTGCAACATGTTTAGCTATCTCACATATTATATTTAGCTTTTTTGGCTTCTGATCACAAATGTAGCCAAACTTTGGAGTGCTTAGATTAGCGAGCAAGGTCCTGGCAGATCGCTAGGTCCGGTCCTCACAGATGAAATGAAAAAAAAAAAAAAAGTGCATAGGAATTTGACAACAAGTATCTGATTCTGGAATCGGAATTGATGCGATTTTGATGCTGTAATTCAAAGCAGAATGATAACAAATGTTTTGTCTGTGAAGTATAATTGAAAAATGCATTATTTACCAATTTTTAAAAAAGTGCTTTTATTACACTGAGAAATAATTAAGGCAAAGGCAAGAATATCGATAAGCGCCAGTATGTGTGAGAGAGAAATGGATTTCATTTAGATTTCATTTTCATTTCATTTTGATTTTAGGAGTCTCTGGGTATATAATCATCAAAGCATTTAAGGAAAGGAAAGGACGTGACGTGTGGCGTCCCATACTTAGAATTTGTGCTCTGCATTTAACCCATTCAAGTGCACACACACAGCAGTGAGTAGTGAACAAACACGCGCACACACACACACACACACACACCGTGAACACACACCTGGAGCAGTGGGCAGCCAATGCTGCGGTGCCCGGGGAGCAGTGGGGGGTTGGTGCCTTGCTCAAGGGTCTCACCTCAGTCGTGGTATTGAAGGTGGAGAGAGCTAGGGGTCGACCGATATGTGTTTTTCAAGGCCGATGCTGATTATTACAGATCAAGTAGACCGATAACCGATATTTTTAACCGATATATATGTCTGGTGTAAAAATGAAAATTAATGTCAAAATAAATTAAGAATAACAAGGGCTCTGACAAAAACTGCCTTCCCTGGTGTTGGTTGATTTCCTCGGCCAAACCCCATTCCTCAGCCATACCTGTCACACACCCAGTTTAAGAGCAGTGTTTTTCTTCTTGTAATCAAGAGCGCTTGTCCTCCTAATTTAAAAAAATGAAGGAGCACCTTCTGATCAATAATCAAAAATTCTGATCAAAACTTAGCCTTCCTAATATGAGGTTTTGTATGAGGCATTTTCTTTTTACCTTTGCAATGGCATCATTTTCATCTGTAAAATTAAAAAATGTATGTTTATAAGCTTTTTAAAATTTCTATTTAAAACAATATAATAAGAAGTAGAATAAGACAAATAAGTTACCAATCATGAAATTAGTATTAATGAAAAATTTATTTGTACTACAGAGGTGGCACAAAAAGAAGTGTTCTGACAAATAATGCTACCTATCAGATTATGCTACCAACAAATCGTCAGAACACCGGCAGAACAACAACAATGTGCTACATGTTACTTTTCCCCTCATTTTTTCCAATTGACAGAAATCTGTCGTAGCGACGGAAAACGGCCAGACTTGAGACGCGAACCCGTGACCTTCGGGTTACAAGTCCGACTCTCTATCCATTAGGCCACGACTGCCCCTGCTGCCCCATTTAAATGCTCACTGCCATCAGAAAAAAAAACTTAAATCTAGGCCTGTTCTTCCTTAAAACAGACTAGTTGACTACCCAGTCACTATTTGATCATAGTTTGACTACTTGATGCAGTTCTGCACAAACAACAGCACAAACATTGAAGTGAACAAAGTGTGCTTTGAAT